ATTTGTCTCGACCCGGTCTGAAAGTGGGGAAACTCTTTTGTAAATCGTCGGCAAACATACATTTGTGCTTTTGCATGTTGTTGGCGTACTGACAGCCAAGCTATCTATATTCTGATTAAGAACAGGGCTGCCCGCACTGGCGCGGCTCAAGGATTACGTCACACGCAGCGCCATGCGCAGTGCCCTAGTGCCTGTAAATTTAATGGTCCAATTAAGGTAATTTAAAAAATCAGGACATTTCCTAACTTTTAAAAAAAAAACCCGGGACGCCCGGGACAGGACGTGAAATACGGATATGTCCCGGGAAATACGGACATTTGGTCACCCTACAATACTTATCTCATCCACTGTGTGCAGCAGCATCAGCATCTCTCCATGTCTTAGACTGAGCATAAAGTAAATCTTGATCAACTCCAGTAAACTTGCCATCGAACGACCTGAGGAGATGACATGCATGATGAAACCATGCCACGATTACCCGGATAACATTGTTATGATAGTTATTATTTTCCGCCAAAAATTTACTTGGAGCACCAACTTCTTTTTTGTCTGAAATGAGTCTTGCAGACTAAAAGCATACTAGAGCAACCATTTGGATACAATATAATTATATCGTTTATACAATATAATTATATCGTTTATACAATATACTTATCAGATTCATACAATATACTATCACCTTATTGCAAGATTTTTTTTTAATGTTTATTCAATATAGTTAATTTATACAAAATAATTATCACGTATATCCAATATATTCATCACCTTCATATTAGTATGTTTCTACAATGTAGTATCCCGTTAATACAATATAATTACCAAAAATCTTTTTTCTCAATTGATATCAATATGATTCCTTAAAATTTTGTTCCCTCCAATAAATGTCTTTAATGGAGGGAAAACGAGCTCCAATGATCTTGCTGTCCTCACCACTCTCACGTTCTTCCAATCTGAGTGGTGAAGCCTCCACACCACACAGTGTGACAGTTGGTCAGAATGGTCTATATAGTAGAAGGTTGTGAGGATGGGCGGGACAGGTGGGCTCTCCTCATCCTCTACATGAAGTACAAGTGCTTGTATGCCCTGTTGACCTGTGAGGTGCTGTTCACAGTCCAGGTGAGGGTATCTGTAATGTGCACCTCCAGGAATTTGGTGCTGCTAACCACCTTTGCAGTTTGCTGTGCAATGGAGCATGGTTAGGCCTGTGACAATGATCTTCTTCGTCTTCCCCACATTCAGGATGAGGCTGTTTTCTCTACACCAGCTCACCAGCTGCTCCACCTCCTCTCTGTAGTCCCAGATGTTGTCTTCCCTGATGATATGATAGGTGGTGAACCTGGGGATGTAGTTGTGTATCATCAGAGAGAACAGCGGGGGTTTCAGGTCAAAGCCGTGAGAAGAGCCTGTGCTCAGGGCGATGACATCAGAGGTGTTCTGTCTGACCAGGACTGACTGAAGTCTGTTGGTTAGGAAGTCTAGCAGCCAATAGGGCTTGGTCGTCGTGACGTCACCACTTTGCGTGGTCGCCATGTTGACGGCGCACTTTACGGTTTCCGTAGACTATTGCCTGTGACTAACGCGTACTGTTCTCCCTCTCAGCCGTGTTTTA